GTGGGAATACGTATATATGTCTAGGTGTTGGTGTTATCAATCTCCACAAGATGAGTCATTTGATCATTTTTTCTTAACTTGACATACTGCTACCATAGTGTGGAGTACATTCACGAATACTGTAGGCCTTAATTTCCCGCTAATACAGGTGCTCCAAGTGATTAGGACATGGTGGAGTACTACATACTATCCAAAACTTAAGCCATTATTCCAAGCCTTGCCAGATATTGTAACGTAGGAGTTGTGGAAGATGAGAAACACAAATAGAAATGGTGGATCAATATATGTTAATAGAGTTATTCATGAGATCAACAAGACCATATACTTCTTAGAAAAAACAAGATACAAGTGGCTTACTGGTATCCCCTATCTTTGGCCAGATATGATCAATTTTTTGAGGTATACAAGCCAGTTTTAGTGATGGTATAAGTGCAATACTGATGGAGCTTCGAGAGGAAATCTAGGACCTAGTTCTATAGGATTCTACGTGAGGGATAATGTAGGTGACCTGGTATATGCAAGAGCAAAAAATCTTGAGGACACAACAAATATTGTTGCTGAGGCTAAGGCCATTGAATAAGGCTTATCTTACTATGTGGCTCACGACCTATACCCTCTCATATTGGAAATGAATTCTTTGGGGATAAAGAAGATTATTGAAGGGGAATGGGATCCACCAGGGTGTACTATAACTGAGGTTAGGAGGATACATGGGATGAAGGAGCTCTTCAATGTGCTATTCCAGCATGTTCTGAGAGAGAGTTTAACTAACCTTGTGTTTCTTTTGCAAGTACAATTGTATTTCACTCTTTATCTAAACTGCCAAGTGCAGGAAGGAGACTACTTAACATTGACAAGGCTCAATTAGAAAAACCTTAGGTTAGGATAGCAAAAAGAAGAGAACCAGACTGATGTTAGTTGATACTATAACACTGTCTGCCTTGGCTATCTTCACAAGACTTTGTATGTTGTGGAGTTGCTTGCTAGTGGTATTAGCATGGTTACATGCTCAATCAGGTGGTGGCTCTTCAATGTACGAAGCAATTACAGCAGGCAGGAGACCTTCTATTGCATATGTGAGCACATAAAGTCACATACTGGTACTTCTACGTCTTCACACATACAGTCATGCAAAAGGCATTCAAGATAGCTGGATTAATATGTGTTGGTACAAGTATTGGCGAACTTATAACATGTTGGAGGTGTGGTTCGTGACTGCACATTACCAGATTGAAGTGAGGTTAGTTCGAGCTCACGCGATCTCATTAGCAAAGGCTACATACTTTACATATATGGGCAGAGTCTTTTGGACGGCTTCTAAGGAGTGGTGTAATCGTTGGAGTTTCACATTTGCCTTGTCCTTTGAAACGCAAAACCTGGCACCTGGTGAGAGATTTATATGTGCTACTGTGGGTGTTTGCACTTGGCTTGTGAAGTTACACACCATATTCCTATTGAAGTACTCGTCTCATGCTTATGTAATAGCTAGTTTAATTGTCTGCATATTTATTCCTTATAGGAGGTTAGATCAATTGGTAGTAGTTGAACAATTTGTAAGATATGGACTCTATTTGGGACTAATTATATATATATATAACTTAGCCACTAGGCAATATGCCTAGTGGAATATTTGTTATAAAAAAAATAACTCTAAATTTCATGGCCTATAAACTAAATCAGTAAAATGTAGCACCTAATTACTTAAAAAATAATCATCCTAAACCTAATTCAGTTTCTATTACCTAAAAATTACTCCCTCCGTTCCAGTTTATGTGAACTTATTTCTTTTTTGGTCCGCTCCAAAAAGAATGACCCCTTTCTAAATTTGGAAACAATTTAGCTGAAACTTACAATTCTACCCTTAATGAGAAACTTTTATAACCACACAAATACTCTGGGCCCCTATTTGACTTGTTTAGGACCACAAATTCCAAAAGTCTTTATTTTTTCTTAAACTCCGTGCCCAGTCAAACAGGTTCACATAAATTGGAACGGAGGGAGTAATAAACTATAACATTATAAAACAAAAACAAAAAAAAGCGGGCAATGGTAGTCAGGGAGCAAGGGAAGACGAGAATGGAGGTGGAAGAGAAAGATAGAGAGAAAAAGAGAAAGAAAGAAGAATGCCCAATATGGATTTGAAATAACACATATACCGACAGAAACAGGTCGGAAATTCGATCGATACATTTTAAACATTGTTGACCAAAATTTGACCAAGTTATCCACCGATTTCGGTCGGAAATTTTAAATGTTTTTATTGAATTATCGGCCGATATCGATCGGTAAGTTAAATAGTTAATAAAAATTAAATAATTTCGACCAACTTTCGTCGGTTCTTTTGTGAAATAATTTTTTTCCTATATTTTATATAGTACTTAATATTAAGAAGATTGCGTTATAGTAACATTAAATATAAAATATATAATACTAACCAATTAAACAAACAAAAAGTATGATTCATATTCTAAATCAAATAAAGTGATTTAATATTTTATCCTATATTCGAGTAGAAATGGTTCACCAATTAAAATCAACTCAAGTTAACGCACTACTGCTCAAGTATAAGAATAAGGCATGCAAGTGCATCATACGAAAATATAAATTTCTAGAAGTAGAAGAAATGATACGCAATAAGAGTTTACTTGAACTTGTTAGTACTCTCTTCTAGCGATTACGAGATTGACCGATCTATAAATAACATGAGTAAATAGATTGAATGATGACGATTGAATTTGCTAATTTCGAAAAACCGACTGGTGGTACTAAATTTTCAAACAAATCATAAGCTCTTCAGCCTGCATCTTAATTATCAAGAGCTCTTTCTTTTCTTTTTTCTTTTTTATTTTTCTATTCGGTATTCGACATTCATTTAATTTGAATTTAAGCTACATAATTAAGGTTTATTTAAGGGTGAAGAGCTTCCTATCAGAATTCTTTTTATTCGAAGCGCTCGAACTTGAAACCTGTGATTAAGGGTGAAAAATATATCCCTCCCATCACAACTCCATGGTAGTGCAAGAGCTCTTCCCATTCTTGAATCAGATTTCCTACATTGTTTTTGGTGGGAACTCAATCCTTAATTTTTCTTTTCTTTTATGTTATGTCAAACTCGAGCAGTCATCAAATTCCAAGCTTGCCCATAAATATAAACAAAACAAGGTAGACTGAACGATCTTAGCAGAAGAAAAAAAAAAGGTAGACTGAACGGTGCACCACCATAGAATTGAGACAGGAATGAGGCTATACTCAAAATAGTGTGTGGAAAAATCCCTACTTCTACTTATTTATTTTCCTGATTGAGCTTGATCACGCCCAACTATGCCTTATAAAAAGGACTCTGCGGACGTTGCAAATATAACCCGAGTATTACGCCCAGGGTCGAATCTATAGAGAGTTAACCTATCAACCGCTATCTTCAGACCCACTAAGTCTTCAGAACCAGCTTCCCAAATATTCAAATCTCAGTTGAGTGTTCTTTAATAACTAGCTTGCAAATAACTAAATGGCTGTAACTAAGTAAAAAAAAGGGTTGTAAACAATTATGAGAAAAAGCTAAGGCAATGATTTCCCCTATTGATGGAATCCCTTCTGTTTATGCTCATACAAATTTACCCACACATCTCTATCAATCATGAACGCTAATCTTGCCGCAAATCTCTCCCGAGTAATCACAGTAATCTACTATTGCACTCTCCCGAGATACACTAGCTTGCTTTATTTAGCACAATTCACTTTAGATTGCACCCAAGGCTTCGTTATTCCTAATCCCGCCTTTAAACCCGCAATTATAGATTCCTCTAATAATTTAGGAGTGGTGTTGTTCAACAATACCCTAAATATGCACTCTTTTCCAAGTTATGCACACTAAATAGGCACAACTAATTGAGGATCCTGTCAATTAACTACAACGAACACGAAGTTGAACAAATAAAGATTAAACTAGCAATTTGTATTCACATAAACAAGAAGTTCATCACCCAATAGGTTCCATCGAAGCCTTAGACAAGGAATTTAGCTACTCATGGCTATGGAAAAATAAACTAAGATTGAATTCATCATAAAATCAAAAGAAAAGAAGAAAGATGTTTAGAGTATTTTCTCCCAATCTTTTTCCTTGCTAAGAAACCTAAAAAATCAATACATGCCTCTCTTGGGCGAAGTCTAATGTTTTAAATAGGGTTTAGGTCTAAAAATCCCGTAATTGACACTTTGGTCCCTGAAGTTTACTGCGCCTGCCGCGGTTCTGCCGCGGTCGCGGTGGAACCGCGGCCAAACACCCTCGCGGAATCTCAATCTTCTGCAGCTGCTTCCCACCGCTGTTCTGCCGCGGTCGCGGTGGAACCGCGGTGGATCCAGTTCTCTGAATCTTCGGCCTGTTTTTGCATGGGTCACTTAGGAAATTTCACAGTTGGCCTCTTTTTCATCACTTTTGACTCCAAAACTGCTCCTTAGCCGTCTTTATACATATATCACCTACAAATCATGAAAAGCACTAATAAGAGCATTTTGTCATCACTTTTAGCATTAAAACTACACAAGAAGGTGATTATTTAAAGTGTGATTATAGTCAAATTCACCTATTATCAGAGCTATGTAGTGCTTTTACAATTTTTTAGTATACACCGATACTGTAATATTAGCCAATTACATCAAGTTATTTACTTTATTTTCTATATTACCAATTTAAGCTTACTATAGACATTTACACCATTGATGCAGAAAAACTAAACTCTCTGCTACTTACTCTATCCATGCATGAAACGTGAGTTCTGAAGAAATGTGCTGTCGCATACGAGCAACAAGAAGGGACCACAGTCAGCTGCTAATAATTCGTCATCTTTGCTAAATTAGGCACACCATATGGCGTATTGAATCAAAGAAAAAACCAAATTACTATAACTAATTTTACAAAATCCTGACACATTTTATCCTCTATTTAACCTTTTCCCGTTCTCCAATCCACTATAAATACAGGCCATTCAAACCAAAAAGGAAAAACAGCAAAGATATTTTAGCACATATATATATATATATATATATATATAGAAGACATAACTAAAGTCCCCTCAAATCCAAAAAAGAAAGAAAATGAAGGCTGTTGCAGTAGCAGTTGTTGTAGTGTTAGCCATGGTTCAATTCATAGCTGAACCAGCACAGGCCATCACTTGTGGTCAAGTGGACGCTGCTTTGGCTCCTTGTGTACCATATCTTACTCAGGGTGGGTTATTTTATGAGATTAAGTTATGTGCATTGACAATATATATATATATATATATATATATATATATATATATATATATATATATATATATATATATATATATATATATACACACTCTATTATTGCGAAACTTTTAAGTTTAAATTTTGCATTTTAACACATTATAACAGGTTAGATTCAGTTACACTAATAGTGTAATTTTTTTATGTCATCAATTTATATGGATATAACTTAAACTCTTATTATATTTGACTGTCGCTCATGTTTTGTTTCGTAAGATATATAAGCCGGTAAATTTTGTTTTACTATTTTCTGATTCTTTTTCCTTTTCTCAACTCTATCTAAAAGCCTCAATTAAATTCTTCATTTTATTTTATGATTGTCGATCTTTTAAAAGGTGGTGAGCCAGGAGCAGCTTGCTGCAGTGGGGTGAAAAACTTGAAAGGAATGGCTGCAACCACAGATGATAGAAGGACAGCTTGTAACTGTGTTAAGGCAGCAGCCAACCGTTACACAAACCTTAAAGATGATGCTGCTCAGGCTCTTGCTTCTAAGTGTGGTGTCGCCATGGACGTTCCCGTCTCCAAGACTATCAATTGCGATTCGTAAGTTCTACGTACTGACGATACAAAAGATATTTGGACTATCAATTTATTAGAAAGCAATTATTACAAGTTAAGTAAACTTCTTTGTTACAATTGGCCATAACCTGACTTCTTAAAAGTTTGTTACGCTATGAGTGTTAATAAGTCAATTCTTATATTTTAAAAGATCTGTGGATACGTAAGTAGTTCCTTTTTTTTTTTTTTTAGCTACTTTAATATTTATGCGTTACTGTAAATTATTTTATGCAAGTTTAAAAGAGGAGTAACTATTATATACTGTCGATAGTAGGGGTACTAGTAGTTTATAAAATAATACTGATAACCTGTTATAACGGGTTAATCATACTGATAGTGTAAAAATTCTTTTTAAAGGGAAAGCTAATTTATGAAATTGTAAAGCATGTGAAGAAATAAAAAGGGTGAAAAATTAGGAAACTGAATTTTAGTGAAAAAGTTACCGTGAAAATGCTTCATATACGAACTCTTCTTTTAATTGACTGTATACTTGTATATATTAATAGCTAGCGGGACTGTTGTCTGAGGAAAGGTGCTGATCGTTTTTTCGTTTTTTATGACTTCTAGTTTTTATGGTTTTTTTTGTTGCAGAATCAGTTATTAATGAGCAACACGGTGTCAGGAATAATGCCAAGGAGATGGCCATGATATGTTGCTTCTATTAGATATGTTGAGTAATAGTTTTCTTGAGGGAACGTTTATGTAATAAACCTGGGGTCGTGAGACTCCCTCTTTGTTGTACGATTACTATGCAGTAATATACTACCATAGTGCTCCCTTTTTGTTAATTACTTTTGCGATCCAATTTATGTGGCGGATTTGACTGGCCACCAAATCTTAAATAAAGTTTTTTTTAAAAAAATTGGCAGTGTAAAACAAGATAACAGAATATGGGACGAAATAATTAGACCATGATAGTGTAGTGAATGTCCTTAAGGAATTTAAGCCTCCCTATTTCGTTGCTGTAGGGATTATGGCAGAATTCCTCTAGGATTCTACAAAGCCTTTGAAATCCGAGTTTCAGCAATTAACTCGAATTTCCCACAAGAGCAGAATGGTTGTGAGTTGTAGAAAATAAGTAGAAGAGAAGGAGATGAAAGTTTCAAATAATTTCTTTTTGGAGATGATATAGGTATTTATAATACCTATAGGAGTCTGTTGGAAATTAACAGGTTCATCTCTTTATAACAGGCACCTTTTAAAACCAATAGTCACCTTCTTTTAGATTTTTTTTAAAAAATATTAAAATGTTTTCTGAAATTAAAAACGCTA